CTCCCCCCTCCCGCAGGACCTCCTGCAACCTCTCCTCCCCATCGTGCAACCTGCTCCTGCCCCTCCCACAACCTCCTCCTCCCCCTCGTGCGACCTCCTCCCCCTCCTGCGACCTCCTCCCTGTCTTTGCACGACCTGCACTTCCCCCTCGCACATCATCTTCGGACTCCTCTTCCCCCTTGCGCGACCTTCTCTGTGGCATTCTGAGCCTCACGGGCCCCAGTCAGGGCCCGGTTCCAGATAGGCAGGGTAGGCCTAAGGGGGACAACAGTTCAGATGAGGCCCAGATAGGCCAGGACCACGGTGGTTCAGGCAGGCCAGGGGTAGAGGCCCAGGCCAACGGCCACAAGGCCGGTACCGGTCCAGCATAGGACCTACCGGCGGCGCTGCAGAGGCTGCCGCGTTTAGGTGCCAAGTCCAGTTTTAAAACTGGACCGTTGATCAGATCAACGGTCCAGGCCGGTAGGTACCAGCAGGCAGGAGGCCGGCCCAGCACTTAAAAGGCTGGGTACCAGCCTCAGTAGGGAGGTTCGTAGACAGGAGTTAGTCTTCAGGATTAGCGCAGCATTGCAGCGTTAGTAAGATTAGCGCAGGGCCGCAGCGTTAGTGTGAGCAGCGAGGCGAGATCAAGACAGCGGCGAGGAGGAACCAGCACAGCAGGGACAGCGCCAGCCATCGGCCCGGCCCGTGGCCCAGCGCCAGCCTCCTGCAGCGCCATAACTACCGGGACAGGTACCAGGGAGGAAGGCCTCGCCTTCCCTCCCTCTTCCTCCGCTGCCACTCTCTCTCTCTCTCTCTCTCTCTCTCTCTCTCTCTCTCTCTCTCTCTCTCTCTCTCTCTCTCTCCTCCTACCTTCTCAGTCTAGTCTGCTTCTGGGTTCTCCTACGGGACTGCTATAAGTATGAAAGATGGTTACGAATTCTGATGACATTGGAGACAGCTACATTGGGACTGTAGGTTGAGGACTACTTGTGGGATCTGATTTCATCTGCCTCTGGAGATGTGCTTGACATTGTGAGATCGATATCTGAGACATTGTAGGACACTGTATTCGCGACATTTCGGACTTTCGCCATCTCTGACATTTCAAGATACTATCTTTGGAAACATTGAGTTGACGTCATCTTCCCTCTCCTCCTCCCTTCGTCTCTCGTCTGTGGATGATCTCAGACCCTGGCCTTTCGTCTATGTCCAAGGCCAGGGCTTTCACACCCCTGATGAATGATTGAGAGTGTTCGATTGCAGTCCGAGTCAGGTCAGAGTCAGTCCATGTATCTCAAGTCTTCCGCTGTATTTGTACTTACTCTGTATTATCTGGTCGGTTCTGGGAATCTGCGCCATACTTATGACTGTGTTTCACGATTATGCAACAGTTTGGTAATGGCTGGGCGCTGCCTCTTGATTTATACTTCAGAAATTCGTTGGTCTGCCCTTTGCCATCGGCCCTTGGTGCTCACAGTCCCCCTGTGGTACTTGCTGGACTGGACTGGGACTCTCTAGACCCTTCTGCTGACTRTAGGCAGTCGTACCGTCGACTCAGTGCAGTTGCACTGAGGTCCTACCTGTTGACCTTGCCACTTGTCTTCGTCTGAAAACGTGGGCCTACCTTAGACTCACCACTTCACCACTTGCCGACCTTCTAGAAGGACTAAAGCTAGGCCTCTGGACTCTACTTGGACTCCTACCTTACAGGTCTACAGTTCGAATCTCCCTACAGCCTACAACCTACGGCGACCTACTTACCGGTGCAGCAGATGGTTGATTCTCAGGTAGTAGGAAATCTAAAGGCAATCTAGGCTTAAAAGTTAGTAGCAAGCTGTTGGGGTTCACGCCCGTAGCGCTGTGCACACCATTATTGTACAGGCTGGAGATGAGAGCAAGTTTCTCATCCCAGTCCACCTGATTTGGCTTGTTATAATGCCTGAGCAGGTGTTGTAAGCGTGGTTCAACTGCTCTGCCTGTCCATTTGCTTCTGGATGATTGCCTGATGTCATTTGCAACTGCGTGCCTTGTTCTGCAGCTGCTGCCTTCCACAGTTCACTT